AACAAGTGGGTTTGTCCAGCAACAGTTGTGTCCTTTTTTCTCTTAAGGCGAGCCAGTGTGTGGGTTTGAGCAGGAAGCTGCACTCTTGGAGAAAATGTCACCCCAAGCACACACACCGAGCAACCGATCATCTTACGCTCTGTGTCTCACACACCACCTACGTAGGAAAATCTGATCATGTCAAGACTTTTCACAGCTTTGTCAAAGGCTTTGACAGATCAAATCATTGTGTTTCTTTACAGGCTCTGCACCTCTGCAAGGCGTACATGTTGCACAAACATAGTGTGGCTGTGATGTGGTGTCAATACTGGAAAATACCATTTAATTCACAACAAGTGGTCAAAGAAAGTGCGTGCATTTGGATTGACATGCCATCAATAGCACCACTTTGTTGTGGTGTGATATATGTACAGGCAAAAAAGAAGGCTAAGACAGAAATGGCATTCTTTAATGGAAAGAAGCAGCTTTCTTATTACAAAGAAATATAAGAGTTGATTTCTGCAAGGCACATACAATCTTAAAGGGCTCTATAAAGCAGCAATACATTACTTTGATGAAGGCATGCAAAGTCGCTTTACAATCTGGTTCATTTACAAGTTGTGGCTGTGCAGCCGGAATAAAAAAAAAGTTCTATCACAGCAAACAATGTATCAATAGAAGTCCAACATTATCGTATTTTAGTCCGTTTTAGAGGTTTTTGTGTCCACTTGGGAGCATTGTAGATTATAGAATTAACCTTTTTATTGTTTGCGGTTACCTTTTGAAGTTGGAAGTTAAGCTTGTGCTGACTGAAATGAGTCCCTACAATCACCACTGGCCGATTATAATAAGTTATAGTGAGGAGAAATTGAGATTAAGGAACTTTCTTTTGTTAGATGATCACCTTTGCAGCATTATGGCAATTTGGTAATTTGCACACCTAGCAAAGGTAAACTTGTTAAACAATTAATAACACATTTATTTTGTTATTGTTTCCCCCTGTCTTTAATAGCTTGAAACAGTGAAAAACAAAGTCATTTTGGGATTGGGGATAAGTAAAAGACCAACAAATATTAAACAAATATATTTGACTTTTAGCTTGATGCTGACATATTAAACAGTAGGAGCAAGATATTCTCCAATGTGCCCTTGAGGGTATCTTGTCTTTGTATCAGGGTGGACGATGATTACACGTCTTTCATTAACGTCAGTAATCAACGTCACAGTATAATCACCAATGACTTATAAGATAGTTGTTCCAGTTTTCCAGCTTACATGTGGCCTTTCTTGAAAGCTCAAGACTTAATGTTTATTATTATATCTGAGTGTTTTTCTTTTTATATCCCGATGTGCAGTAATGTCTGTCAACTAAAGCAAGCACTGGACTATATCAGTACGTTTTCAGCAGAGATCTGAAGATGAAGGGATGCACCACATACTTTAAATTGGTTGACTTTGTTATTCATTTTGACCTTTACACTAAGGTTATCGTGCTGTAAGTCAGACATAAATCCTTCACTAGTTCTATTTTGAAATCTGTAAGCCGTGGGTGAGAGTTCTCAGTCATGTTGCTGTGACTGAAGCTTGACAGTCTGCTAAGTAGATGGTAGTGTGCGAGTCATCCTGAAAAGGGGTCATACATTCCTACCCTGAGCGTTTCCCTCTGTTTGCACAGCTCACTTTTTAAAGACATATTGACCCAGATGAAATGTTCTCATGAGTCAAAACGTGCCCCCCACACTCACTTTTACCCCCCAGGAGATCTATGAAGAGTTGAATTATGTCTTAAAAAATGTATTGTCTTTTATAGCCTTTAGCGGCCTCAAGTGGTTGGGAGCCTCTATCCAAAACGTATTTTCAGATTTCATTTTTTTCTATTGTCATGGCCATCAAAGAAGTTCATTACAGGGAAGCTTTTAAAGGTATACCATCTGAATACATTTATTTTCATATCTCTTTTTGGTCTCTTATGCTCACTTTAACAACTACCATGCCCTGGGGGAGCCTGTCAATCACCCAATAACCTGCTCTTGCACTCTTTACATGAGCTATTTTAGTTTTGCTTGCCTACTTCTGTGTGTGTGTGTCAGTATTTGGACGGAGGGGAGGTTTTGTATTTGCATATCCTGGGCGGACTCCTCTTATCCGGTGCTCAGTTGGGCCCTCAGGCCAAGGTGTACAAATTACTCGCACACTCTTTAGTCATTGCAAGGGTCCCGTATTCCAGATATATCCTGGATGGGAGGAAACCAACTGTTTACCTGCCAGTCGTAACAGTGTTAAGAGATCCTGCTCCAAGCCTCACAACCTGATTGCGCTGTATAGCTGTTCTCAGGCCGCCCTCCTTAAAGCTGCCCCTAGGCCAGCCTAAAAAAATGCATCAGGCAGGTTGGTTGTTTGCGGAGGTATTACACTATTTGGACAGATCAACAATTCTGGTTGTTAAATAGTTGTTTATCACTAAAGACCTCGAGGGTGCTCCTGTCAGTTTCACCCCAGGTTCAAATAAAGAGGTGATTGAATCTTAAAGTAACACAACATCCTTCTGCTACTTAATGATTATTTGTTGGGGATGCATATGCTTCGCTTATATGTTTGGGTTTATTTCTAACATGTAAATTAGGTGAGGTGAGTGTTTAATCATCTTATCCTAATGATCTTAAAGAGTGGTGCTGGGCCCTACACCTCGTAATGGGTTAGCATTTTAGCCCTTTTCAGGTTCCAACGTCAAGTCAGTCGTTTTTCTAATGAGTTTTTGGTGCCTGAAATAAGGTCTGTGGTTAAAACAAGCTTACAAGATATTTCTACAACATTAATTGCATCAGTGAATACCCCACTGGTGAATGTCTGAAGCTTTTACATGTCTAAAAAAAGGCGGTTGCTAACAAGTAGTCAAATAGGACCATGGCCATATAATGCATTTGTGAAGTAGTTTGTTGATATCATGACGTTAGCTTTTTACTTCTGGCTATTGTCTTTACGCTTTGACTGTTCGAAAAGTAGAGGTAATATGTGGAGATAATCCTGCTGAAGAAAAATGTGTTTGTATCATAAACATGTGAACAGATCTTATTCTGTACAACATCCCAAAGTCCATTGGACAACATCCATTGACTCTTTGTCCCATGAGCTTTTGCGATGCCAACTTCTGAGTTGGTTTACAAAAGTATGTAATCACTGCACCACTCTACTGTGTTAAATGTGATCTAATGAGTTCATTTTATGCACAGCTGATTCTCCATATAAGTGAATTGCAAGCTGTCTGTTGTTAGTTAGATACAGGTGGTAGAAACCTCACTGTAGCGAAGGACATGAAAAGGCTCCAGCTGCAGGAAGAAGCAAAATTCCCCAGAGAGAACTTTTTCCATCTCATGTCGCCGCTGACTGCAGGCCATGTAATGACAGCGATGGTGCAGATTTTAGTGATGACTTTGGTTTAAACTTTAGGGAGCATTAAAACTGTTCTTTGTAGAAAAACATGTACCTAATTGTGTCGTGTAACTTTTTTATTGAGTAAAGCTTTGCCTTGGTTGTCCCCCTTTCCCATTTAAAGATGTATCACAGCAGCACGTGAATGTCATTGTTCTATAAACTATAAAGACTCTTCTGGGTGCAGAGAGCTGCCTCAGTTGTGAATCAGTGTTTCAGAATGAAGGGGTTTTTTTCTAACGCAGAGCCAGTCATTTAGAGAAGGACTGGTTAGAGAAAGTCCATTAATAATTATGTGGAATCACATCTAGTTTCCTCTCATTTTCCCTCAGGGTATTTTTTATGATGAAGAAACTACATGAAGCATACAAGAGCGAATATAAGAATAGTTAGCTTTATTAAATGCATGCTTAAAACCTTTATAATATAGAACAATATCTTTGTAAACCTGAACGAATGAAACTTCTCAGCAGTATTCTTCGTACTTTTCTTCCTTGATAAACATCCTGTGACTGAAATATTGCATCAGTGAGGAGAGTGTGGGTGTTTGCCCTGTTTTAACACTACAAAAAAATGTAAAGGCAAAGCGACAATTTATGACAAACGAGCCTTTTCTGACTTGAAGCATTCACCCCCAGAGCTGCACTTGCTGAACTTGCTAAATTGACACCTCAAGACTCATTCTGGGAAATGCTCTGTCACCCTGCTCTATTTACGTGGAGACGGGAGGCAACGGCCACTTCTGAAATTAACCCTTTCTGAACCAGGACGTCAGTGCCAAACACATGCACTCAGGCTTGGCTGTGCAGCCCAGTCTAAATGAATCAGTAGCAGTGTGATATGACTGGGACCGGTGGCCATTCGGGACTGGGATGACAAAGCAATGACCTCAACACGTCTCACTGCTGCACAATATGAACGTCGGATAAATGGAGGCTCAAGGTGCAACTGATTGTATCATATCCTAAACCTAAAAAGATGTACTCTATGGCAGTAAGGGCAAACAGCTATGCCAAGGGAAGTACTCATAAACTATACATTGCAGTATGTCCGTCTAAATCAACATCAGTGTATGTTACAGTGTATTTTACAGTATGTGACCTTTTCTGAGGCACGCGTTGTTTCAAAAAAATATGGTGGAAAATCCCCATTAGTCATAAATTATTCATTATGCATTATCACTTTTATTTATAAATAACTTTATTCCCAAGGCTAGAAAAGCCACAATACTGAGAATCAGGTTTGATCAATCCTTAATTTGGTGCTTTTACACTGACTAAAAGTGTAACAAACAAGAAAAAGTGACTTGTGAAAGTCTGCTTTTACTTTTTTTTCTTTTCTTTATACAATACTTGTCTTTACTGAGACTCAGATGCATTGTTTGGAGACTCTAGCGTGAGAGAGCTTTCAGTGTTATCCAGATCATGTGAGACAAAATCAACCTGACCCTTTATCACACCTTGAAGGTCATTCCTATTTGCCTTCTTTGAATCAGAACATTTGTTTCTCATGTCATGGTTACTGGCCACAGTGAGTCATGATTGCCTTTGTTTGTGAGCAAGTGTATCGTTTTATTCCTCTCTTCCTTGTAGCTAAAAGCAGAGACGTGTCCCACAATAAACTGGACTCTGAAGTCGTCCCCAAAGTGGCCCGCATGACCGTCTCAGGGAAGAAGCAGACCATGGGCTTCGATGTTCCCAGGTATCTAACACACAGCTGTACACAACATTCTCATTAAACAATGCAGAGCAATTAAGCTTTTTTTTTAAACATGTATTTATAGTTTTTTTACATTTATCACATTACACAAACACAGCCGAACATTCCCCAACATTAGACATATGGCAGATTACAAAATTATGCTGAAAAAATTAAAAGTTTGCAGTTACTAGAAATCAGTTTAAAGTACAGACCAAGAATATAATTACATTTGCAAATTAACAAATTCAACAAAAATACAGCACATCCACATACAGAGCAGAGTACAGCTTACAATTCTCCAAATAGATTAACCATATTCAACATTTCCTCACAGTATGTAAGTTAAGTCTTTTCCCTTTAACCTTCCATAGCTTCTGCAATGTCCCCATTTTGAATAATAGTAGTTGTATTTAACACGAAAGAGTTATCATGTATTCGCAGAGATGAGCTGTGTTTCATTGTGATTCAACTCCTCCACATTCTCCCCTCAAGTGTGAACGGTGTGGTCGGGACCCCTGAACGCCCCACAGCAGCCTCGGCCTCCGAGGCCACGCCCAAGCGTCCAGAGACTCCATCTAAAGGCTCAAATGGAGACGAGCCCTCCACAGTTCCCACCCCGGGACGCTCTGGAAAGGCCCGGCAGACGATCAACATCAAGGAGGAACTGGAGAAGAGGCAGGGCGGCAAACCTCTGTTAAATTTGGTGGTTATAGGTAGGAGGCAAATATATAAAGACACTCGTACGGTAGAATTTTACCTCAGCACGTTAAGAGATCGGACCAATAACAAGGGATACACAATTAGATTCTGCACAAACAAAATTATAACAAAATTATTCTCACTATTTCTTTAACACCTATTATCCTACATATTGATCTACAGTGAAACAGTGCTGTTTGAGTTAATTCAAAATACAAGTACAACTATCATTGTTGTATTATTGGACTTTTTTGATACATTAAACACTAAAGCTAGAGACTTAGGTGAAGTTCTTTCTCAAGACATTTATATAAAAAAAAAAAAAAAAACGTTTTTCTTCTTCAAATAGTTTCTTTCAGCATATCTAATTGTCCAGACATTGTAACATATCTGTTGTTAAAGAAAATCGAAAATAAGCTCTCAGTTTTTCCCACCACATCCCCAAATGTGTGAATCTACTCGGTTTGTTCCTCATACAGATTCTGCCATTTTGTACCTAAGTCTAATGTTAGTAGTAGGAAATGAGGCGAACTGCAGACCAGTGCAGTTGCTCAGTCATGTTCTCTCATTCTCAGTTCGACCAGAATAAGTGACTCTGTAGTTTCAGAAGTGCAGATGATTCTAGTTTCCCACAGGCTGCGAAACCTCTCGAAATACCACAGCCCTCTCCCTTCCCCCTTCCCCCTCTCACCCTCCATCCTTGTTCCCATTTCTGTCAACCTCCTCTTGTGCAATGCAGCTTCTTCCTTCTACCAGCTGTGGCTGCCCTTTGCAATACCTTATCTCCTCTCTTCCTCCACCTGTCTTATCACTCTTATTACACTCTTCCTCTGTCCTCACTCTTCATCCCTCCCTGGTGTCTTCTATCTTACACTGAGCTCCTTTTTCTCTTTATCTCTCTCTGACATGACTACATTATCATTCTGTGCAGGTCATGTGGATGCAGGTAAAAGCACTCTGATGGGCCACCTGCTTTATCTGCTGGGCAACGTCAACAAGCGCACCATGCACAAGTATGAGCAGGAGTCCAAGAAGGCGGGAAAGGCCTCCTTTGCTTATGCTTGGGTCCTGGATGAAACTGGCGAGGAGAGGGACAGGTACATTTAGAGCGTGAAGTTACACACAAACACATCATTATGCACGAAAATGACTATTCCCTGTTGCCACATTGATTACAGCTAGACGGGAACACTTGATGATTACCTCACTGACGTCTCTTCCTGTTGTGTGCTTGGACTGATAAGGAATCATGAGTCAAACAATATGTCCCTCACCCATGAGAAAAAACAAATCTTTTGACTTTTTAGGAGATGTCGATGCTTGCCGTCTGTGTTTTTTAAATAACAGAGTGAAAGGGAAGCATTAAAAGCCAGAAACAGAAAGTGACTTGGGTTGTACTCCCTAATCAGTACCTTCTAAAGCGCATGCGTAATAAAAAAAGCATCTGGACGGAAGCCTCGCCCACTGGAAGACATTGCACTCGAACTGAAATTGGCTGAGGGTTTAAATCTACACGACCTTAAAAGGAAGTCCAACTGCTCAGCAGTCAATCCACATCCAATCCATTGTTTCATTTATAGAATTAAACCTTACTTTAACTTCTACTAGAAAGTGTGTACACATAAGAAATGTTTTTTTTTGTGGGTGAAGTGATTGTTGAAAAACAGCCCCCTCATTTATCTGTGTTTGCTCCAGAGGTGTGACGATGGATGTGGGCATGACCAAGTTTGAGACGGACTCTAAGGTGGTGACTCTAATGGATGCGCCCGGACACAAAGACTTCATCCCCAACATGATTACAGGAGCTGCACAGGTATTTCAAATATAAGTGTTCAAGCAGCCTGCACAATGCACGTACCCACACAGGAAATGAGATATCTATCGCTATCAACATAAGGTGTTGGTACATTTAGAGGAACATTCAATGAATCATAGCATTGGCACGGTGTAAGAAACCCAGTGTGAAGTGTGGTTAACAACATAAATAAGTCTTTTAGCATTTTGTTTTGTTTTCTGATGCCTTGGATGGAAATGAATGTGTTATATCACAAAAACATACTAACAGGAGCAGGGAACAGATGATTACAAAAAAACTAGAAAGCTACACGCATACGTACAGTCCCATACTCTACATACCAGTGTGCATGTATGTAATGCATTTCTCTGGTTAAATAAACTTCCCCTAATTAAAGTAGATCCTTTCCCTTTAGATATACCTTCAGCCGGCCACACCCGTCAGCGGGATTTGAAATAACTCGTGCGGTTTTGGGTGTTGGTGTCAAAAAGTTTCTTTTTGCACCATGGGTGTGCTTGTCTCTCCCCGTTTGAGCCACTAATGTAATTTCTCTTTTAACCATATGACTGTCCTCAGTGCAGACTCATCATGTAGTGACTAAGTGTTTTCTGCTGCAGGCTAATGTGACCTACTCTGATGTTAAAGATGGTTTCACAGCCTGTAGTTTACCAGTAAAGTGTTTATCAAGCTCACCTGTCCTTCCTGTTGAGCACTTGGTCAAAACGGAAAAAAAACATATTTGATATATAGATAATATAATGTAAAAAATAAGAAAAACTGATTTCATGCATGGTTATTGTTTAAATGTTTGAATGCATTATTGTTCTGATGAACTTCAGACTTTACATGGAACATGAACAGTTCATCTTTTGTATCTGTCATAGTGGTTTTAAAATATAACTTAATTTTGACTTTTTACAATTGTATCTAACATCCTATTATTGGTATTTATAGTCAGAAAAATGCAATTAATCACAGATAGTTTGATATACATTTTTGAGAACATCCTCTTGTGAAATAGCAATTTATTTTACAAAATCAGATGATGAATGTTTTTAATCCATAGGTTAAGGGGTCTGATTTATTTTCTTCCCTCCCATCTCTCTCTACAGGCCGACGTGGCGGTGCTCGTAGTGGACGCCAGCCGGGGGGAGTTCGAGGCGGGCTTCGAGGCTGGGGGGCAGACCAGAGAACACGCCCTGTTGGTGCGCTCGCTCGGCGTCACTCAGCTCGCTGTCGCTGTCAACAAGATGGACCAGGTCAGACCCAGCTGCACTCAACTGACACACAGTGGGGAAGCATGTGCGATTGACTGTTTACCACTTTGTAATACATGGATATATAGAGGTGTTCTTGCAGGTGAAAGTTTGAAAAAAATTAAACCCCCCTTAAACAGTAAAAAAACAGTCAAGCAGCAGAATGTCTTATATTACATCATAAGGGCAAAAAGCTGATTCATAGTTTACCATTCACAGATGTTGCTCTGAAAGAAATGAACCCTGTTTCTCAAGACTTACCACCTTACGATGTTAGTAGAAAAGAAGGCCTAAGGGAACCATGTGTGTGTTTGATTGCGTTAGTGTCTTTTTGTTTACTATAACTACGAGCATTTCTCTCCGCAATGTGTGCCAAAGGGGAAGCTTTCTGTGTGTATTTACTTTTTTCTTTATGTGTATATTCAAATCAGGTAAACTGGCAACAACAGCGTTTCCAAGACATTACTTCCAAACTTGGACATTTTCTCAAGCAGGCAGGATTCAAGGTGAGTTGGAACCAAATCACCCAATCCTACATCTCAGGATAACGAACAACTCTGTATCGATATATTAACTCATTTCTTGTATTTCCTAGCTTTTGTTTGATCAAGTGTTAACGTGTTTTTCCAGGACTCTGATGTTTACTACATCCCCAGCAGCGGCCTGTCAGGAGAGAACCTCACCACCAGGAGTTCAGTGTCAGAGCTCACATCCTGGTACTCTGGCCCCAGCCTGATGGAGCAGATTGGTAATGCAAGCTGCCTAAAGCATTCGCCGCCTTTTGACACTTGTTGAAAAGGTTGAAAGATATATACTAGCACAAGCTATAATTCAGCCCTGTTTTCATCATCTGTCTCTTTAAAATATATGATCAAAAAACACCTTTTCACAGAAGTGATTTAAGATGTTTCTAAGAATGTTATGGTGCTTTAAATCCAGACAGGCTGACTTGAAGCTGAACACAGCCATGTTGTTTTTTTACAAATGTTGGGGTGGAATTTGACTTGAAACTGACTCAGCAGCACTGATCGACTTGTTCATGAAAATGATGAATGCGTCTTCAGAGTTTTGTGAATGGGTTACACTCAGCACTGTGACTAACGGCCAATCAGGCGCCTAAAGCACATTTTGTCCAGTAACAATGAAATGATTCACCACCACTGGTTACAAGGCTTCTGGTAATATTATGTAAATGTTCTCCTTCTCATTGTTTTCTTCCTTTTTTTTTTGTCCTCTGTTGTTTTCCATCACTGCTGAAGACGCCTTCAAAGCCCCTCAGCGATCTTTAGAAAAACCGTTCAGACTGTGCGTTTCCGATGTGTTCAAAGGTAAAGTCACTGACGCATACTTGCAGTTTATGGGAATGTGTGCATGGCCCTTTTCCTTTCTCTTTTTCTAAATTAAAGCTGATGGTGCATTTTCTCTTCCCAGACCAGGGTTCAGGCTTCTGTGTTTCCGGGAAGATCGAGGCCGGTTACATTCAGACCGGAGAAAGAATACTGGCTATGCCCCCCAATGAAACCTGCACGGTCAAAGGTGTGTATTAAATAAATCCATATGAGCATGATGGCTCACTTTGGTAGTTCACGTTTCACTTTCATGCAATCCTACAGAATTTTCTTCATAGATGGCAATGAGAAAAGGGCACACAAAAACGTTGAACACCATGTCAAAAAAACATATTAGTCATGAGGGCAAGTAGCAGTTGCAATGAACTGCTAAGATGCTGGCAAGGATGCGTCTACACTGGTGTAAAAACTAATATTTTTTCGAATTGTTTGAGCACACAAGGTATTGTTTTAGGTTTGGTCTGTGTTCAAAATGTCAGAACTGTTTAGTATTGAGCTGAGTTTTTCACTTTTGTCTGTTTAAAAACATTTCCATATTGGCCCAGTTTTGGTAGGGAATGATTCTGAAATGTCTCAGAAACATTCCCTAATTTGTAATAAAGAAAAACAACCAGCACAGGGCACATCTACTGTAAATGAATCTCCTTTGCTTTGCTGTGTACATTGTGTTTATAAAAAACATTTCAAAATGTGTTGAGAATATTTTCATATTGCTTATTTCTAATGTAGTAAAAGTTGTTTTAACCGCCTTCATCACAGGTCAGTATTGTAGGCTAATTTTAATTTCCCAGAACATGTCATATTGACTAATGCCTGTTCAGCCAGTTGGCTTACAATCAAACCAGTTTCAAATCTACATACACTAGACTGGACCTACCTGTTTCACTCTAAATTTAGTCAACATCTAACAGCAAACAAAGCAAAATAGAATACACATGCACGTAAATGCAATGCAATTAGTCACAACATTTGAATAAAGTTAGAATGCAGTCTTATATGTTATAAGGCACTCTCTCAGGCAGAAAAAGTTTTTGAGCAAATAAGACATCTGCTACAAACTCACCATCTGAGTGCGCCTTTTTGTGACTCTGAATGTTGTTGTCTGAGTGAATGGTGATACACGCTGCCATCCTGTGGCTGCTGGGGGGCTTACACTCTGTGTTTTTGCTGCAGGTATCACTCTTCACGATGAGCCTCTAGACTGGGCTGCAGCAGGAGACCATGTCAGCCTGACGGTCACCGGCATGGACATCATCAAGATCAAGTAAAAAAATATCTCCAGTGTGTATTTCATATAAGCTTAAGGGTCTGATTTGGACGCAACATATTTACTAGTGATGTCTGTTATGTATATGTCTGGTCTGCACACATGTTGCTGCATATTTAGTGATAACTGCTTCCTTCCAGTGTGGGCTATGTGTTCTGTGATCCCAAGGAGCCTGTACGAGTGTGTACTCGGTTCAGAGCCCGGATCCTTCTCTTCAATATCGAGGTCCCCATCACACAAGGCTTCCCGGTGAGTGCAAGCAAACACACAGTCATAAGCCAACTGTTTTTTTGTAAGCATCTATATTGGATGCTGTGTCTGTTTCATTCTATGTGCATTAGGGATGTGCATCTCCATCACTGAGTGCGATGCGCATCTCGATACGTTGCCAACGATACGATACATTAACAATACATTTTAAGCACCGAGCGATGCGATGCGATACGATACGATTCACCCCTATTGCGATACAGTTCGATACGATTTGATTCAACATTATGCGATTCGGGGCGATACGATGCGATTCAACACGATGCAAAATAATGATACAATTCAATATGGTACGACAGAGGATTTAGTTTTATTCCTTATATGCAGCAAATCATAAATCAACAAAAAAGTGATTCACATATTTGGTTCTCTCTACTAGTCCTGCGCATCCTATTATGCTGTTTCTTTTTTACCTTAAAAAACAAACCACTTGGACCTTTCACAAACTGGCCTTTTCTCAAGTGTAGTAGTGTTCTCTGTCTCCAGAGTACAGTACCATTTTATAACACCTCACAGTTAAACAATGTAAGGATCCCCAGGATTAACAATGTGCAAATAACAACTACCATAGTGCAATGCCCATACAACTGCCAGACTGATGTGCTTAACACTCATTCATAGGCTAACTCACCAGTGAGCAGAAAGCAGTGGTGTGGTTTCTATAGGAACAATAAAGAATACAAATAACCTTTCACAAACAGGTTTAACTGCTTACAATTGTAAGGAAGACATTTAAACTATTATTGGCAGTCACAGTCTGTTGTAAACTAAACACCACTCTCACTGACAGAACACCTCACTGAGTGATTGAACTCGTATGTCTTACTTTCAGGTTTTTCTTTTCAGCCGCAGACCCCATGTCGCCTCTATGTGCGTCGCTAAGTTCCTCGTACTACTTGTGTACTTTAAAGCGGCACGGCATCGTTTACAATTTGCTTGCGATTTGTGAAGTTGTCCGTCTTTCTTGAAAAATCCGAAGTGTTGCCAAACGTTTGATTTGTAGGTATTTTTCGGTGCCGAGTGTTTCTCTTTCTCCTCGACTTCCATGTTTGTTGATAACTGTGACGCGACTTTCGGCCTCTGTAGTGGCGAAGCAAAGATCAAAGATCGTCTCTGCTGAGCGCTGACAAGATGAGGGGATATTATATGAATGAATGGTTTTTTTAACGATGCGACGCGAGTTCAACCCAAACTGTAGCCGATGTGCACTCTTTCAACCGGTGCACTCGCATTTTGAACGTTTATGCCGGTGCACCGATGCGAATCGGTGAATCTTAACATCCCTAATGTGCATGTGTTTTAATCTTGTGTTTGTGTGTGTGCATGTGTAGGTATTGCTGCATTACCAAACAGTGAGTGAGCCAGCCACCATTAGGAAACTGATAAGTGTTCTACACAAAAGCAGCGGCGACGTCATCAAGAAGAAACCAAAGTGAGTGTGGATTTGATCACATTTAATATTATGCGAGGTGGACCCTGAAGGTGTTATTTTTGTATTAATTACCTCCTCGCTGCACTTTATCCCACTTATTACACGGTTACATACTAAATAAACCAATGTCTTGACTCACAACATTGATTATAAATTATTATATTGATTTCAAAATGATGGTATAGCTTCCGCTTAAAAAAAGAATATTCAGTTCTGCTGCGTACCAACGGCTAAGACTCCACGTTGACCAATCAGAATCAAGTATTCAACTAAGCCGTGTTATATAAATGCATAGTACACGGTAGTTCTAATACTGTGTGCTGCAATAGTCACCTTGTACAACTTTCAAATGTCCCCAAGAAGGGCATCATGTTCCCTTCTAAATATATGCTTGATAAAACATAATCATTTGTAATAATTCTTAGAAATTGGACAACATCCAGGTTATCCTCACTTCCTGTTTGTGTTTGCTGTGCAGGTGTTTGAGTAAAGGTATGAATGCCATCGTGGAGATCCAGACGCAGAGGCCGGTGGCATTAGAGCTGTACAAAGACTACAAGGAACTCGGCCGCTTCATGCTCAGATATGTCGGCTCCACCATCGCTGCAGGGGTCGTCACTGAGGTAAAATGGGAATGATCGAAGGACAAAAACAATATACAGATGTGTGCTGTTGTTTTTATTTACGAGCGTGATTTTTCTTTTTTCCACGGCAGATCAAAGAATGAGGAGCGTTTCCATGGACACAGAGCCGGTCTGAACTTGCTCTACAGGCTGCCTGCAGCCAGAGACAAAGTGCAATTCCTCCACAGATGTCCCTCAGGGACTCAGCGTCATTTTCATCCATCCAGCTGCTCCGACTGACTGCTCCAAACAACACTAAACTGCATGGATATGCGGCAAGATGATCCAGCCTCCTGCGACAAACAGGCGCATTACCCAGCCACCCCATAACTTCAGATTTATTTTCGTCTGACTTTGTTTTTTTAGTAAAATCAGGCCAAATTAAGAATATAATCCGACTTTGAAAGACACTTTTACCAACCAGAGATTTCCACAGTTATTTATCTCACTGTACTTCCCTCTAAGCAACCTTTTCTTGACTGAAAAAGCATGAATCCTGTTGGAACAACTATTGAAACTAGAGCAGTCAACAGATCAGCTGTGGTGTAAGCAGAACATTTCTTTATGCTGTAACAGATGTCCAGATTTCTCCTTCATGTAAAGGTTAAGATGAGGATATACACCCCAGTTGTTTTGCATAATAAGGCCCTCCTGAGATTTTTAATTTAGACCGAGATGAACAAATGAAATTAAGTTATTAGATATTATTTTGACCATAGTATGTTGACATCTCATACAACATAGCCAATGGGACACAGTTCACTCGAACCAAGCGAGAATAGTTTGTGAGCAAAAAAGGGAAACTAAAATCTTCACCACTGGACAAAGACACATTTGTCTAATTTAAGTTAACAAAATACTTGAAATGCTTCCACAGTAAAGCACCAACATGCTTTTTGAAGTACTCATCTGTGTTTTGTTTTTTCTTTCAAAGACTTGGTTAAATGAAGAAGTGCAGCTGTGTTTCTGTTTTCTTCATGTGTTGTTGAAGGTGTTGTGAAGGAGGACGATGCAAAATGAACATGACGTCAGTAATCTGTGGTTTCAGTTTTGATTTCAGCAGTGTTAACTTTATCTTCAATTGAAAAAAAGTGCAAGGATTCTTGATAGTTTAAAATACATATGCTAAGTAAAGTAAGAAATGAAAATGTAGAGGTGATAGCTTCCTGTCGGGTTTGACAGTGACACGGCTGGGGTTGTTACTGCTGGAGTGGAAAGCACCAAAAAAAAGAAGAATGCACATCGAAGGGAAAATAGGTCAGAGTTTTAGAAAAATGCCCACAACGCTTTTCCAGTTTCCAGTGGTGGACTCTGAAGTGACAAGCATGTGTAACCGCGGCTTACAAAGTTCCACTTCACAAAAAATGACTTGAAAGACAAGGACAATTAAAGTCAAAATGGTGTGAGAACTTTAAGAATTTTATGGCAAAGAATCCTAAGTTCCCAGGCTCCTGACATATGCTGTAGTAGTCGGTATACTAAGACATCAAGAGTGCAATACAAATATTGAAAGGGACATAGTGCATGTAAAGTTCAGGAATAAGTCAACTATACTCATATAAACCATAATGAGATTATAGGGTGGAAAGTTATTACATAACAGTCACAAAATGTGGGTCGAAGGTGTTGTTAGGTTGTGCCTCTGATTTAAAGTTTATATAGTCCTTGTATGCATGCACAGGAAAGAATGTGTGCATTGAAGATACACACTGAATGAACTGAAATATAGTGTAATTGTATGCTTTTGGGATTTTTTAAATGTCTTTGAATTGCATAATTTGGAAGGTTTTGTGCGCAGACTGTGTCTTTTAGGTGATACTCAGGTATCTGTTAAATGTGACACATACCGCTAAATAATTTTCATTAAATCTAATATGGCTGATTATATACTATGACTCCCTGCAGCTGAAGTTGCTGGCTCAGTCACAAACACTGCAAAACTATATAACTTGGCCGGGGGCCGGGCTAAGGTCTCAAAAATACATGACTTATTTCAGTATCCAGAAACAAAAAACAACAGCGCAAATCTAAGTCGCTTTAAGACATATTTGCTCTACACTGTAAGTTTATGCTATATTGATGAAGTATAATGTCATTGCTGGGTCTCTTAACTACAGTCTAACCTCATGAAGAGGATTTTCCACCACAGTGTACAGTGTAGGTCCATAGGATGGCAGTGTTCAGCACATTTCCTGTCATCTACAATAAGAAGTGTTCATGTTTTGTGAGGTTAGCAACGTGTTCTGCTACAGAAATGCATAAGAAATAGCATCATGCAGTGAAATTGGTGTCAGTCACCTGGGACCAACTTTGACACAGAGAGCGGTAAAAGCCTTTTGGTCTCCAGACCTTTGACCTGAGATAATGAATAACTTTCTCTGTAAATGGATTGCAGTATTGCTGTTGCTGCTTCGCCAGTCTCCTTTATTTATTAGCCATTTCTAAAACTGACAGTAACTGTGTTGTCACGTATATGCAAAGCCAAAACAAGCTCTTGAAAAAACTGTATGCAGTAAGTTTATTTCTGCGTTGTCATGATAGACAAGCGGAATTGTTCATGTCACTTTGTGAGATACAGGCCACACAACCTTGAGCTTTAGAAAAAGGGTTAATCTTTAACATTTATGTAGGAAACTGCTGCTACTATCCTTTACCTGCAACAAAGCAACCTCACCTCGAGGTCCATTAGGTTGCTGTTATGGAGCTTCTGATCTCATCGCATATGTAGTCAGGCCAAGTTTGTGGTATTTTTGCCTTTTGAAAAAACTATTCCCACCCAAAATGACTAAAAAATACTTTGGAAAAGTGATACAACTTTACTTTCAACATCACACAACGTCACAGTATAGTATAGTGTACCATTTCTGTCAATTAGAGAAAAAACATTTGTAAGTAACTATAATGACAAACTTTTTTGAAATAATGACTAAAGAAGAGGCAAAAATAAGAAGTAGTCTCTAAAGGACTTAGTTTTGCTATTATTTTTCAAGTTATTTTGAGATACTTACTCATTATCTTGAATTACTAAGCCATTGTATTTTAAGAAAGTGCAGGTACTCATCACATTGGCATCTTCGAGCCTCTTTACATTTTAACCTTTGTATTCAGTAGGGCAGGCTATTAGTTCTCAAACTGCACTAAAGGGTGTAATAGCCTAGAAACTAAATAAAATATATACAAATAGGTATTTAGACACCTGCTTTTCAAACTTTATTGATATATTATTTCACTTTTTTCCAAGACCTTTAAATGCTAACCAGTGCTAAAGGGAATCATTAGCATAGTGCTGCTCACCATCTTGGGTTTTATAGAGAAACGTGACAGTGGCCGCTGTCGAGTGGGAGGGTCGGTCCAAAGTAACTTCATATCGTTGGCTTAATATGCTCCAGACCTGCAGCAGTCTGCTGTTATTCTCTCAATTTGTAGCAATAATTTGATATCCTCGACGTGCAGCCATGCCGAACCCCTCTGAGCAGAGCTCTTGTCTGGTTCTGGAGAACTTCATCGGAGGGAAGTTCGTTCCGTGTCGGACTCACATCGACTCCTACGACCCGTCCGTCGGAGAGGTTTACTGCAGGGTGCCGGACAGCGGGGCGCCGGAGGTGGGTCACCCTCATGCTATATGACTAGATTTATAACTATAACCTACTGCACTGTTTTTCCTACTTACTCTGGAGTAGCAATATTTTTATTGAGAATATAGTGCAAAGCCTACAACCCATAGGCCTTGATGCTTCCTGCTGCTGCAAATCACGCATTTTAAAGATAACATGTTGAGATTGTTGAGATTTTCACCAAAGTTTGGTCATTTCTGAGTTACCACAAATGTTAAGAAACATATAATGGCTTTGTTGGTGCATTTGACCTGTGAGAGTTGTTATCTAGTTGCTGTCTTTGTATCTGTGTTTTTTGAGTTAATCATTTCCATGTTGTGCTTCTTTATGCTCGCTAGATAATGATCCCATCCCAAACACTGCTCGAGAGAGACCTTTACTCTTTGTAGAGTAAACAGTGAAGTAATCATTAAACACATGAACGACATGAGTCAATAATTTAACTTTTCATATGAGATCAAAGTTCTTAGCCATTATATAAATATACACCCAGACTTCCCCCAGTGTATCCCCCACCACTAGACTCAGGGGCAGTTTTATCCCACAGACCTAAGACTTTAAAATTCCTGAGCTATGTGAAGTTCCATTACAAATGTAAATATCACACACATATGTCACACATTTCCACATATCTAAATATATTAATTTAACGTATAATATTTGAATCCCCCTTTTAAATTATTTAGTTTTACATAAAGTTTTGTCTAATTCACTTCGTTCCTGCATTTTACTTGCACAATTGATGGCACTATATTATTTCTTATATAAGTTTATTTTATGTGTCAAGTTTGCTGTGTGTCTCTTTACATTTCCATTTCCAACCAGTGTGCCTAAGCGTTTTTGCACAAGAAAACCTTTGAATCTTCATACTTGTGATGCCTGTGTAAAAGTTGTGGCCTCACTTGCGGCAAAAGGGATTTTTATGATGAAGGCATACAGTACTTTACAAGAACAATACAGAAAACTTAATGCAAAAATAACAATTGTATGTCTCCTTTTAGATATGTCATGGTCCCATGTTGGTAACTGCTGAAACCTCACACAGAACAATGTGCTAACCTCTCTGTGCTTCCCCTCCTGCAGGTGGAGGCAGCGGTGGCGGCGGCTAAAGAAGCGTTCCCCGGGTGGTCCGCTCGCAGCCCGGAGCAGCGGGCTCAGGTCCTCAACAAACTGGCCGACCTGTTGGACGCCAACGTGGAGGAGTTCGCCCAAGCTGAATCCAGGGACCAAGGTGTGCTATACTGTTGTATAACCAGTGGTATCAACCCAAAAGTCAGTCAGATGATCAGCCAGTAGCACTGAGTCAGTCAGAGAACATTACTGCATGCTCCAATTATTGGATTTCATATTATTAGAACCCAGATTTCAAAACCCTCATATGCAGGTCCTGTTGAGGTGTAGTATGACTGATTACATGCCTAGGGTTGTAACTTATTACAATTTTAATATAATATGAATTATTAATTCAATTATAGATTAATCTCCAAAACAATTGATTCAACACAAAGTGCCTAAGGTCAAAGGTCAAAGGTCATGTTAAATATGACCAACTGTCAAAAACGTAGACAATCAGGTTACAACATTTAGTAAGTTGAGTAAAAGCCATTCGAAGCCATAAGAAGCAGCCCATTCTAATAATTGTATGGAAACGTGAGTAAAGTCTAAAACTGATTTATTTTTTGGTCAAGATCTTTGTTCTAAGTAACTTCTTTCTCATAATTAAAAACAGTAAGAATGACTCACTTGCGTCTCAGAACTTCTTAACCTAGAACAAATAAATGTTTGACTTTTGTTCTTGAAAATGTACTTAAGTTATGAAACTTTCGAAAGAGCTTGCAAGTACTTTACGCATGTTTAGTTCACCTGTGTATTGGATTCATAATTTTGTGAACTAAACTGACATTTGGCCTCTGGGTGGCACTAGAGGACCGCTCAAACATTGTACAAAATGAAGTGATCATGACCTGGGGTTGATATTGAACTATTTTGAGTATAAGCAGGTGCTGTTTTATTATCCCCTGTCCACTATTATCCCTTATGTTTTTGTTGTGACTTTACAGGTAAAACAGTAACATTTGCACGGACTGTTGACATTCCCCGATCTGCGTACAACTTCCGCTTCTTTGCCTCATCACTGTTGCACCACACCAACGACTGCAGCCAGACGGACCACATGGGCTGCCTGCACTACACCATCCGCTGCCCTGTGGGAGTGGGTGAGAGCTCAGTATCTCTGCATTAAAACCTGTTATATTTTTCGTGCTTCATATGTTTTAAATCTGTGTTTTGGTTTTGTGCAGCCGGTCTGATCAGCCCCTGGAACCTCCCCCTGTACCTGCTGACCTGGAAGATTGCTCCTGCCATCGCTGCAGGCAACACAGTGGTGGCCAAACCCAGCGAGATGACCTCTGTGACTGCCTGGATGATGTGCAAGTTGATGCAGCAGGCTGGTAGGACTACAACACCCACAATGCAATTGAAATCTATTTACATGCACAGAAGATATACCAGAATCAGAATCAGAATAAGAATACCTTTATTAGTCCCACAGAGGGGACATTTACATTGTTACAGCAGAAAAGAGCCAAAGACAGCATCATATCAACAGTCGAAATATATATATCAATAGAGTATCTGTAGAGTATACAACAAACATAATAAGTTAGAATACACCGTAATAGACCAACCTGCTTCTCAAACATTGGATACTACTGTATATATAAGTTATTACTTATTATTCACTATGACCTATAACAAAAATGAGTTTGATGAATTGCTGAAAGCTTTCTATCTCCACAGGTGTTCCTCCAGGAGTTGTCAACATTGTTTTCGGCACCGGGCCAAAAGCAGGCGACGCCCTGGTCGGCCATCCTGACGTCCCATTGGTCTCCTTCACTGGCTCCACGGCCACTGCCCAGTGCATCACAGAGCGGAGCGCCCCCTACTGTAAGAAGCTCTCTCTGGAGCTGGGAGGGAAAAACCCTGCCATTATTTTTGCTGACGCAGACCTGGACCGGTGCATCGAGACCACTGTTCGCTCCAGCTTCTCCAATCAGGTGAGAGAAGAGTGTCAGGAAGGGTTATCGGACTCTATTCAAGTTTTGAATTGTATTGCTGTCATTATTTTCTTTTGTATTACACATGCTTTTTTTTAGGGTTATTATCAAGGCTGGCACCAGTGTGTAAGCTAAACTTCAGGGGCTCCAAGAATGCCAGTTTTTTGCTAAATCATTTGTAAATGTTTTTGGGAATATGTTCTAAATACATCCACTGACAGTGAAATAGTTATGGGTCCTACTTGGTTTGATATGATGAGGATCTGTCTTAATGGGAATCTATGTGTCAAAAGCATTTTTTTGTAAACTAAATGACAGCTTTGTTTAGCTCATAATTTATTTTTATAGTTTTATTCTTATTATGTGTCCATGAGATAAATGCTTCAGTGACCAGACTTGTCCACATGGGGGAGATCACAGTCCATATTTTGTCATGAGGCAGCTGAATAAGAACAACGTCCTGAACAATCTCAAGTTATCTTTCCCTTCCTTCCTTTCCTTAGGGGGAGATCTGCTTGTGCACCAGCAGGATTTATGTAGAGGGGAGTATTTACTCTGAGTTCCTGGAAAGGTTTGTGGCTGCGGCTAAGAAGTGGAAGACAGGTGCGCCCTCTGACCCCGGCAACAACAACGGAGCGCTCATCAGCAAAGAGCACCTGGAGAAGGTGATAATTACACATTCAAATGGTGTTGGATAAGGCTGCAACCCACAATAATTACATATATTATCAATTACCTGCTAATTATTTTCTTTTTGACTATAAAATGTCATACAAAAGTCCAAGGTGGTGTCTCTAAATTGCTTGTTTTGTCAATCCGAAACCCCCAAAAATCTCTATTTTATATAATATTAAACGTAGTAAAGCAAGAAATCTCCATATTTGAGAGGCTAAAGCAGCCATTTTGCATAAAAATGTCCTTTAACGATGAATCATTTATCAAAATAATATCCAATTATGTTTCTGTTGTTTAACTAATCAATAAATCAACTCATACTTGCAGCTTTCGTGCAACAGAACAAATCCTCATTCTCTACATACCGTATCCACTTTAAATTTGAATCCATTTGTCCCGGTCCCTAGGTCCGTAGCTTCGTAGCACTCGCCAAATCTGAAGGAGGCACGGTCCACTGTGGGGAGGGGGTGGATCAGCTCCACCTCCCTGAGCGCAACGCTAAAGGCTACTTTATGCCGGCCACCGTCATCTCAGGCATTTCTGACAGCTCCCGCCTCATGCAGGAGGAGATCTTCGGCCCCGTCACCTGCGTCTCCCCCTTTGACTCAGAGGAGGAGGCCGTTTCCAAGGGCAACGGCGTGCGCTATGGTCTCGCGGCCACCGTGTGGTCCCAGGACGTGGGGAAAGTTCACCGGATGGCCAGGAAGATACAGGCAGGCATGGTGTGGACCAACTGCTGGATGGTGAGGGATCTGAACCTGCCCTTCGGAGGGATGAAGAACTCTGGTGTGGGGAGGGAGGGGGGGAAGGACTCCTACCACTTCTTCACCGAGGTGAAGACCGTCACCGTCAAACACTGAGGGAGGAAAAAGAGATAGCTACCTTGATTGGAGAAAAGGTTTTGTAGTTAATCGTGACATTCATCAACCTTTGCTGGCATCTTTTGTGAATTCCAATGAAAACTTGGAATTCACAATTTCCCCCCCCCCCCCCCCCCCCCCTCGGATTACTAGAGCCTGTAATTAAGTCTCATCATAGAATACAAAAGTCAGAGGAGGTCACAGAGGAATAAACAAGCATCCAAAATCAATGTCAAGTAAAGAGGAAATGTATTACACTGCAAAACACTGTAATACCTTTTTTATTAGTTCATCCCTTAATATTCTAAACTGCCATATTCTACTGTGGAGCATTTTGGATGCATAGGGTGTGTCATTCTGAAAAGAATGCATGCCGCACAAACACAGATAGAATGAATAGAAAAGCTGTTAAGCATGGTAAACAAGTGAGAGTTGGTACAGTATGTGCCTCAGGAGAACCCAACCCAAAAAGCAAATCATTGTCAAATGTAATGTCCTGGTATTTCTTCGGCTTTTTTGTAACACCGCATCAAACCAAATAAAAACACTTTACACATTCAACATGCAGTTCAGTGTGTTTTTATCCTAACTTTCTAACATTATGGAATTGCTGTACTTAAATCTTCTTAGTACAGTATCTGCACAAAACGTCTTTAAAATATATATATATATATATATATATATATATATATATATGTTACAAGTAAACAGATCTGCAGACAGGTCAACATTCACTGGGAAAGGTTTTGCTTTTTTTATCAGCATACTTTGTACTTTTCATATGTCGTGGTGTTATCCTTTATGGCTGTGCACTTTGTCAAAGTCTGCTTGGTTATAGACAAGTTATACGTCACATAAACCCTTATGCACTCAGAAGTTAGTGATTTACATCAAGTTGTTTTTATGTCTGACCTGCTGACGTAAGAAAGGAGAATACATGTCAAACTGTCCTGTGCTGTGGTTGGACAACATGTTGGGAGAGTGGAAGGTCAGCAAGCTTAAGTGACTCTCAGACTGCATGCTAACATTAGCTAATGTTCCACTAATGACAAAGTCAAACTAACGCTGATGGGAATGTGATAATAGTTTTGCAGGTATTCAGTCTTAATCAAAGTATTGGTCAAATTGAAATGAGCTATTACACTCAATCATGGGGATTGAATGTTCGTACCAAATGTTATGGCAATATATTCAATTGTAGATATTAAAGACTGGACCAAAGCTCTCCATATACAGTCTATGAACCAAAGTGGCGAACTGAAATCATACAAAATCTCACAATTTAATTTACATATCTTTATAATAAAAACAAAAGCTTAAAATGATGGTCATGGACGACATGCTGGGAATTGCAGGAGTGGAGGGGTATTCAGCTGGTTGCAATCTTCATCCTCACCACTAGATGCCACTAAATCCCACACACTGTTAAATAATTATCAAAATCTGCCGCCCACAGCCATCTTTACACCTTGTTTCATCTCCTTCTGCTCATGTTTTTCTTGCTTTTTCCAGCACAGTACCCCTCCCCTCTTTGCCCCTGTTTAAACATATCTCATCACCTTGCTAAATATCTGATAACGGATTAATGCAGTGTGAGATGAGACTGAGGTGTGCAGGCAGCACATCATGCATGCATATGAGCACTCTGCTTCGTCTGAGGCACCGTGCCAGTTTAGGAAAAGAGGGTACACCAGAGACCCGCCCTATCCGTAATGCGAGTGTGTAAAATCACGTCCCCCTGGTGAGGTGTATGTGACATTTACCACAGAAGCAGTGTGTGTCCCACCCTCTGTGTTTTGGCTAGAGAATATGTATTGTGCTAAGTCACGCTGCATGATTGCACACACACACACTGCTGTGCCTTTCTTAAATATAGAGTTTGATGAAATGGATACCGTCCAAAAAACAGGTTAGGAGGTCTAAAGTATCGTGTTTTGTGGCACCAACCCACACACATATACCAAGGCATATAGGCAAACAGAATAGGAACAAAGTAACTCAGCAGCTTTTCCATTTCCCTCCACTTCCGCTCTTTTTCTTGATTTATCCTTCATCTTTGCCTCTTGTGGATGTTTCATTCAGAAGGAAAAAGCTAATTGAAGCAGGTCTCGCCCTGCTGTACGTGACTTTGAGGACTCCGCCATTGGCTTAAGCCAAACCAAGTACTTTCACCTTACTTATTGGGCACAGGAAGAAATGAAAATAGAGCATATCTTTCATTGTATAACTCTGAGGAAACTGCAATATCTATCCCGGCAGAAATAAAGGATCTGTTTTGATTCTGGCTGCAGGGATGTAATGGGCCTCCTGTAGAGGGCCTTCTCATTGATATATATGTGGAGAAAACAGACACATACAACAGCCATTTTCTCTCTTCTTTTGGACAAAACCCAGTGCAAAAAGTCTGTGAAATGCTATCTTTTTTATGTGTTTTAATTATAGAAGTACACACAGGAACATTTTATTTTCTATTGGGAATGGGGGATGTGAATGTGTGTGTATTGAGAGAGATACAGATAAGGACAGATAACAAGAGAAAGAGCAACAGACTGAGAAATCCTATCCGGACTTGACTTAAAATCATTACGTTTCCTTATGTCCCAGATTCAGGTAATAGACAGCTTTGTTTACATGTATTAACACAATCTCCTCCAGTATGCCAATGCATCTGAAATCACAGTTCAAATAGCAGGCTTTTGCCTTGGTCATTGAAAATAAAGGTATTTTCCTGTTCTTATGAGAAACAAAGCATATGATATGGAACAGTAGAAACAAAACCAACAATCAGTGGTTTCCAGCCTTCCAGTCTATTTCCTTATTCCTGGCTGTGGCATTTTCCGATTTTCTTCCTCTCCTGCTCTCTCTTTGAATGTCACAGAAAGTAGGCTTTCTCTATTTCACAACCACTTATTTCACCATGCTCCTGTCTCTCAAGGACGCCAGCCACATTTAGGTTCAGGGAATTTTCCACAGCGTGCGGCATGGGTTTTGTGATAGATAAGCCCTGAGATGAAGCTCAGTCCTGAGAAAATGCTGCAGTTCAAGCAGGTTAAGCAAACTCGGCTTGGAAGAGGGAGAAAAAGTAACTTGGCAACAGAAAGCTAAATGGTTCAGCCTCATGACAAACCCATTTAAACGAACAATCAGTCTGAAATGACAGCTAAGGCTGAAGTGACATGCATTATCTACATTTCAAAGAACATAAGGACATGAGTGATGGGATGAGTAATGGGTCAGATACTTACCATCCTTCCCTGCTTTTCACAAATGCACTCGTACATTCATATTTGTTTTGGTTGAGAGCCTGCATTCTATAAGTTACTCTGTGTTGCACTCACATGGTATCTCAAGTTTTGTCAGGCTAATGTTGACAATTTGGCTAACAGGCTAATATGATTCTGAAGAACATCACTGCACTGTAGCTGCCAAAATGTATTGGCATAGTCTTCCTGACAAATTGAGTGAGTGATTTGTTTATTATGATTATATATTAATTACAGCGTTATGCTTTTCTCTATCTGTGAGGACTGCATTTTTGTTGGCCAGTAATTTAATAAAGAGTCCTATTTTATCTGGTGGCAGAAATCCACAATAAAGCTTATTTTCCCCATATTGTGTAAATGTAGCATTTACACAATTTATTGGATTATTTCCACTTCTGTGCTTTTTGTTATTTTCCCCAAGGAGCAGGGTGTTGTTGTTTTTTTAGCATTTATTAACTACACTCGCAGGTTTGAAAGTGCATGCCACAGGTTATATAGGAAGCCTTTGGCTCTTTTGAACTTTCATCAACAATTGAAGTGAGACAGTCCTCTTCCTGTTGTGATAGATGCTCTTGAGTGCTGCATGTTCTGAGCCAAATCACACAAATGTGGAACAAGAAAAAAGAGCAAAGGGATGATACTTTGATTTGGTTTAAGTGGAGCAAAGTGTCAGAAAGCCCCAGGTCATGTATGACAGCATGTCCAAAATGATTGGTCTTTGTATTGGGTTTTACATATTGCCAATCCTTCCTCACACTAGATAGCAAAGTGACATTGAAATAAGATAATGTTTGATTTCAGGGAAGATGAGTAAAATAGGTTGGTAACCACAGGATACTTTTGTGCAAGAATTATGACATATTTTAGGGTTTAAAACATATGAAGCATAACTAATACAATGTAGACTGTTGAGAAGATAATAATGTTACACCTCTTGTCTAAATATGGCTATAAAATGCAAGCACACTTTCAGTCATTACAATTCAGCTCCCCAGACGGCAATGATTCATGCTTGAATAAATAGTTCCTCTAACTTGAAGTGGTTCCCGCTCATTATCTTTCGAGTATTTTATATTTAGGAAGAGCTCATTCTCTCAATAACATAACACAGGTACGGTTCGCTCCGAGGAGATTACACTGAGCTGTGATGTAGCTGCTGTTGAAAAAGATATCTCAGAGCTCAGTGACGTTTGTGCTCTTGCTATCATATCGTTGTCCTTTAGGTGCCTGAAAACTAATGAACCACTGAAGAGGGATGACCTTCTTATTGTCCTTTGCACTCAGCACAGGATGTGCTTTTGCTGCACTGTTTGCTCATTTACATTGCAGTCACATTACGTCACCATACAGAGGCTGTATGAGAAGTTTACAGTACATAGCAGTGTGTAACTTACGCAGACACAAGAGGACACAAAACCTTAGACTCAACCACAGCAGGGCAAACAACATAGAAATCAGCTCGGCATGGAAATATGAGATGTTAACAAAGGTGTGTTTACTAATACAATGCTCAGTCTGAAATAGAGTCCAGAAAAGAAATCATCATACAATATTGTGACTTTTCTGATTAACCTTCACTGAATTATAGGTGACCCACTGCATGGTGTTGTTTGTCTTCCATGCCACTTAATATTTGCCATTATTAATGCTTCAGAAAAACAAAGACAAATATAAATAAATATCGAGGAAAGATGGCAACAGCAGAAACAGCTAATTAATATGTGACTTGAATGTTCGCCACGTCAAAAACCATTTCAGAAAATGCATTTCAATATTCCATTTAATGCATCAACATTTTTTGACCAAGGCAAAAACCTCCTAGAGTGAGTGTGGAAACCTTTTTTACACAATTAACTAAACATTTTCAAATGTCACAGTTTCTATACAGCCTCTCCAACGCGATACATGTTTATGGAAATATAGCTATAGATGCAAAACGAAAGAATGTGAATCGTTGGAAGACACCCTTTAAGCAAGAAGACTCTATTTAATTGTCCTTGAGCAAGACATTGACTGCCAATCAACTGTTCGGTCCTTCTGATATCATTATGCACCAATTGTGTTTTTAGAGAACTGTTTTGTAGCATCTTGCTTTTTTATTTCTAAAAGATCTCCCAAGGCTGGACTTTTCAGACATTGTTGTAATGGCATGTGCGGAAACATCCTGGAAGGCACTCCAGCTCCACTTTCTTGTGATATTCTGAAGAACCAATATTCTTTGTCAGATTTTCATTCCAACATCAACCTGTTGACCAATGTTTGTTTATGTAACCTGCTCTCCAGCTAAAGCACAGTGGC